TGCTCCTAATTCTCCATTTACCAGACAAAATTAGCTAGATTTAGGTGATTTGCTCCCCTCTAACATTATATGACATGTTTGCCTCGTTCTACATTCAGTTTCTGGCTCCGCCACTGAATTTGGGTATCACCACCCCTTTGATCCCAAGGGTACTTGGTAAGGAAATCATGAAGACCGGAATCATACGAAAATTCGTCCAATCCAAAGAGGTTTAATTTGCCCCCAAAAAATTGGCTATAGAGAGCCATATAGTTACTTGATTATGGTTGCTCTAACACACACTAATTAATGCACTCATATAGATGGTATGAATCATTGATCCTAGGCGACTACTAGTCATGATCCATAAACTTTTGTTTAGTATGTTTATAAACATTTTTTTCAGGTGGCAGATTTAGTACTAGTTCGAGACAGTTTTATTTTTGTTTCTGACTAGAAAAACTAATCAACTTATTGCTGAAGGGTGACACATTATGACCCCTTGTAAACAATGTGATTGTGATACCCCTTTGTTTATTTTAGTGAACAACATTGGAAATGCTAATGTCAAGTTCATACTTTAGTACCAATGTTTATAGACAAGTACATACTGATATGCTATATTGTTTTATCTAAAATCAACTCTGATGGGGAGATGTAAACTATTTTCTTCTAGATGGGATCTTAGATGTGCAGAAGCATGCCAATATGCCTTCTACAGCTAATGCCGAGTGGGCAAAGAAAAAAAAACATGTATATTCAGAGTTAAAAACAGCGAGAATCAACAAGGTGGCCAGCTTCGACCCTACAAATGTGCCTAATGTCGGGGAGAGTATTTAGGGCCTTGTTCCTTGGAACATTAACATCTTCTACACTATAAAATGTTTTATCTAGCTACCGGCATTTTTAACTATATATGTACCTAACCGACCAAGCAGCAAATAGCTCTTGGGCATTTTTTTAAACCAATAGCTCCATATAAATACTCCAAAAAATGGTACTCTCTCCGTTCCGAATTACTCGTCGCAGAAATGGATGTATCTAGATGTATTTTAGTTCTAAATACATCCATTTCTGAGACGAGTAATTTGGAACGGAGGAAGTAGATATGAACAGACATATATCAGCTCTAATAACATCTTATATTATGGGACGAAGGGAGTAGTTTGTAGCCAAGCATATGGATGATATTCTAACAAAGTCCATACTAGTACATTACCACAAATAACTAATGGATGACTCAAAGAGAATTTGTGATGCATAATTAAGTTAGTGGATGCTAATTAACTATGTAATACTCTCACAAAAAATAACTATGTAATGCAAGTTTGTTAGTACCAAATTAATATGTGCCCATTCTGTCCAATATTAAACCCATTTTTTCAAAACTCATACCCAATTCCCAAACCACTTCCAAGACCTACAGGCTTTTGGCTATTGCCAAAGCTAATCTTAATGGGGGGCAGTAATAGAGAGTTATTTTACACTAAGAAGATTCCATCATTCCGTATGCACACACCTCTTATTAATTAGCTGCCTGATTAACTATTGCAACAAGTCAACATACACCAGGATGCCTTCCAAATGGTGCAAAACCTACATACATCTAGCAGTACAATCTCTCTGACAGCAGCAAACTTATTTTTGTTATAAAAAAACCGAACGTTTTTTCCCAACATC